AGCAAGTCAAAATTTTCTAATTTTCAAGGAAAGTTACTATCAAAATCAGTTTTCAAGAAATATTAGAAATTTTATAATGCAGTGTAACTCATTAATCCTTAGTTAGAATAATGATTTTTTGATTATTTGTCATTAAAAACTTCATATATTTTTATGGTATTACTAAAAATTCTAAATTAAGTCATAAGTTTTCGAGTTTGACATCGTGTTTCAATTATCATTATGAATAAGAAAATTTAATTTTATTGTTTTTTAAAACAACAATTAAGTGCATTTATATCCGAAATCTTATTACATAATCTTATTTTCTACCTTTATTATATAAGCAATTCATGCAGTTTTTAAAATATTATAAATAATCGCTGAATAACAATCAATACTTTTTAAGGCAATTTGTCTTTTCAATGATTTCTAATACTTTCCATCCGTTTATCTGATATAAAAAATAAGTTATTGAAAAAACATCTCAAATGAAACCAAATTCAGATGAAAATCCCTCCAAAATACAGATCAAAAATCTAAAACATTAACAAACTGTAGGTTTGAGTTGAACTATACTTTGTGTTGGATGTGGTCACCCTATGTGTATACGTATAGTTTAGTAGGACTGTATCATCAGCCCATTGATAGTATGTACAATTCAGATAATCAGCCAGATCTGAGACAGAGGTTATATAATACGCGGGGATAGGGTGCCACCTGAGCTATACCACTAAAAATACTATTTTGTTTGCAACTCATATTACAATAAGTTATGAATTGTTTTCTATTAGTAAGTAAGTCTGCAATTAAATGTTACGTTATGTATCTTATTATTCAATATATATAATATTAGCATTAATATTGGTTTATTTTATTAAAGATTTAATTTTAGTATAATTAGTAATGATTGAACTTGTAAATCTTTTTATATCAAATAGTGTTTTATATAAAACAATTATTATTAGCTAATACTGTTTTATACATTTACTAACATTCTGCAAATAATGTACACTAACTGCTTACATTTGTTACCAGCATCATATAAGTCTTACCAATTTCAATTGTCATTATAAGAAAAACTCATTTTATTTGTTAAAACAACAATCAAATCCATGATATTATAGATGCAAACTATTACAATGTCATATAATATTACATGAAATAATAATTGTTTAGGAATTTGTAAATACTTATAATATTCATTTGTAATCAAATTCAAATAAGTCGTTTAACCTGATAACTAATATATTGAATTAATATTAAGTTATATTGTAAACCAATACATAAGCTTTTATAGTTGTAATGTTTTATATTTTTAGCCATAAAAGTAAAATGTTGTTATATAACCACAATTGAACCCAAAGTTGCCTTAAAACAGTGTCTTTTTTGTCACTCAATCCTATCCCAAGTAATAATGTAATATAGATATTATCAGATATTATATAGATATTAGATTTTTTATAAATAAATGTATAGTGCAAATAATAAGACATGATCAGTTATAAAAGTTATTTGATTTTAGTTTTATGCTGCAAGCTAGCATATTTTAAAAACAATTTTGCTAAACAAGAACTAAGAATTATAAATAAGAAAATATGTTTTAAAAATAGCACAATCATTCAATTTTATTAAAATTTATATTAGATATTATTCAAATAAGTGATATAATAAGTAAATAAGTAATATAAGACTGTTTTAAAAAGTATCACAGTATTTTCATTATTTATTAAATTTCAAATAAATAAAATGATAGAAATGTCGGAAATAATTGCCGACAATAGGAATGGTATGCCGAGAGAGACCATACTTTCGGTGTCTATTTCGTGGACTAATATCCAAGTGATGACTAAAACACAGAAATCTATTTATAATTGTTTTCAAAATAATAAAACTCCGAAAGAGATCCTAAGGAACGGTATTTGCAATTAATAATGTTTACATACATTTATTTTTAAAGTAATTACATGACAATTAACTAATAGTATCAGGTGAAGTTAAAGCTGGAAATATGATGGCCATAATGGGAGCCAGGTTTGTTTAAAAATCATTATTCAATCAAAATAATATTTTTATAATCAAAACATATAGGATTGATTTATTATATTACAGCATATATTATAGAATATACTATTTTCTATTTGAATTCACCTAGATAACAGTAATTTTAACTCAAAGTCTAACCACATCTATAATATCATAGAAAATACATAGATTTCACAAAGTTTTAAGTAAGGTGAATTCACATATGAAATAATAGATCACTTCATTCAAGTACTACATTCATCTGTTGTTAAAACCCTGAAGAAACCCATAAGTTTAGATAACCCAGTTAATTTTAATTTTAAATTTACAAAAGTTAATAGTTAGCATATGATAGTTAATGATAGTATGTGTATAAAGCTTTCAAATAAATGGTCGCAAATCGTAAATCATTTCTTAAATATAATAATTAGTTGTTAACAAAAAAAGACCTTTTATTTGAATTTGAGTTTATAATACTATTATATACTATTATATGATATAATTTATATCCTAGTACATATTTCTTATTAAAAAATATTGTCTTAAATGATTGTGCAATTCAGTGGCTCCGGAAAGACGACTCTATTGAATGTATTGACGGCAAGGAATTTATCGCAACTGTCCGTCAATGGAGTGGTACTCATGAATGGACAGACAGTCAGTCAACAGACCATTGCATCCATTTCCTCGTATATACAACAACACGATTTGTTTCAACC